CACTGCCGACTCATGTTCATCTTGGAGTCCACTAGGACTCCAAGATCCCTTTCCGCTTCCGTGCCACCAAGCAGGTCATTCCCTAGGCTGTAAGTGTGCTAGACATTTTTTCTCCCTAGGTGCAGCACTTTGCATTTCTCCTTGTTGAATTGCATTCTGTTGTTTTCTGCCCATTTGTCCAACCTGTCCAGGTCTGCTTGTAGTTGTTCCCTGCCCCCCGGTGTGTCTACTTCTCCCCACAGTTTTGTGTCATCCGCAAACTTGGACAGAGTACACTTCACTCCCTCGTCCAAGTCGCTGATGAAGACATTGAAGAGAATCGGTCCAAGGACCGAGCCCTGCGGGACCCCACTGCCCACACCCTTCCAGGTCGATACCAACCCATCCACTACGACTCTCTGGGTGCGACCCTCCAGCCAATTCGCCACCCACCGGACTGTGTAGTCATCCAAGTCACAGCCTCTTAACTTGTTCACCAGTATGGGGTGGGATACCGTATCGAAGGCCTTCCTGAAGTCTAAGTAAACGATGTCAACCCCTACTCCTGCGTCCAGGTGTTTTGTAACCTGGTCATAAAAAGAGACTAGATCAGTCAGATATGATCTACCTGCTACGAACCGGTGCTGGTTTCCCCTCAGCATAATTTGTCCTGCTGGGCTCTCGCAAATGTGAGCCTTTATAATTTTTTCAAAGACTGCCTAGGATGGAGGTGAGACTGACTGGCCTATAGTTGCCTGGGTCCTCCTTCCTCCCCTTCTTGAAAATGGGGACCACATTGGCCCATTCCAGCACTCTGTGCACTGTTGCACTTTGTTACATAGCAAACTAAAACACAGTGGATGGGTTTTACCTTGCTATGTCATAAGGTCATTTAAAGTGAAATATGCTGAATGTGTACATCATGATGAAATTAAAGAGAAATTCACCGCTGCAGGTATAAACAGACATGCCATTAATGTGGCGCATAAGGGCAATTAAGCCGCTTTAACAGCTAATTTTGTCACATGTACAAACAAGTAAAGACCTTCTTAAATTGTAAAAAGTCCAGAAAAATGCCACAGGGATGATTAAAGAATTGGAACACTTGCCTGATACTGAAAGACTCAGGAGCTCAGTTGATTTAATTTATAAAAGAGAAGACAAAGAGTGACTTTATCAGAAGCTATAACTATCAACAAGGGAATCCACTGATAATCCACTTCAGGCTAGCAAAGGTATAACAAAAACCATGAGCTGAAAGTTGAAAGTAGGTTCATTTAAACTGGAAGTGAGGCACATATATTTATCACTGAGGGTAATTAATCATTGGAACAACCTACCATCATTGATAATGGATTGCCTACCAGTAGAAATTATAAAGTGAAGTTTAGATTTTTTTTAAAGATGTATACTAATTCAAGGACAGGTATTGGATCTGAAGCAGGAATTAATTCTGGCAAGTTCAGTGCCGTGTACTGTGAAGTAGGTCAGACTGCATCATCACAATGGTTCCTTCTTGCCCTAAAGATCTTTTAATCAGTTTTGCTATTCTTATTTGTGGCTTGATACTTATCCGAGCATCTGAAATATCCCCTCTTATATGAAGTCTTACATGACAATCTTCATTACTTCTATTTCTTTATATGTAGGTAAGGCAAAAATGTTAAACTAGGCATGAATTCATCTATGTTTTAATGATACCTCTATACCAGTGAAAGATGCAGTTTAACATAACTTCTTTTTTTTGTAAATAATGTGCACAAATATCATAATTAGCTCTGCTGCATGCTACAAAAATAGCATACTCAGATTATTGCTTCTGATTAGGGATAAAATTTCACGGGTCTGTTCTGTCACTGTGCCTCTGTTCAGCTCTACCGAAGCGTTTGTGAACTGGGAAGTTGGTCGAAGAAGTTCCTGACCGCATACTTTGCTTACCAGGCCGGTGAGACAGATTCATCTCTTGTTCAATATGCATTTTTAGCAGAAATGGGATATGAAGTAGCTCAAAGTAATTCAGCTTACATTTTGGAATCTGGTAAGATCAGTTATTTTCTCTCTCATATATATATTGAAGTATCTTGTAAACCATGCTAATTCAGTGTCTTTTACAGAAAAGGTTAAAATTCTCAGGGAAGATCACAAGTATCCTTTGGCATTTCTTTTGTGGAAGAGAGCTGCAGCTCAAGGTATGTAACCCTGAGTTAGAAGTAAACTGCCCATTCTTATTAGTATGAATTTCCTCAGCTCTGCTTCTCAGTGTGGATTGAGCTCTAAGTTAACCCTTATAGATGTGCTATCAGACTAAAATGCTTTAGGTTAAAGTGCTCTTTTGAACGTCTGTGCCACATCCCATCAGGCATTAAGCTAGGTTGCATTTGCTAGTATCCCAAGGGCTCCTCATGGGGCAGCATGCTCACCACAAGCAGAGTTCATCTGCTCTGCCCAAACATCAGGCTGGCTCCATCCCCTTGGCTGTCCCTCACCCAAGTCAGAGACAGCCTCTGATCCAGTCCTGTGTCCTCCCTCCAGGCAGGGGGAGCTCCTTTCCCCCAGCTGCAGCCAGGAGCTGCAGCACAGCGGTGCTTTTTGCCATACGGGGAACTTTGGTAGGGGAACAGGTAGAAAAGGAGCCCCATTGCTGGTCACCCCTCCCCCAGCTTCCCAGTTCTGGTCTTGGTGGGGGCCAGGCTGGGCCCCCTCATGGCAGGGGGGCTCCTTTACCCTCCCCTCCCCCCCAGAGTTCACAGCACGGGAAAAAGCAACTCAGGCCCATGCTGCTGCTCCAGGTGGATCTCTGCAGGGAGAAGGGGCAGGGGCAGGGGACTATACACATGCATGCATACATATGTATGTGTGCGTGCATGCATGCATGTGTCTTCAGCCTGGCCCTGAGCAGAGCCATGGTGCAGTGGGCAGGGAGTGGATCTGCTGCCACCACTGCTACTGGTGTTTGGTGGGTTTGGGGGAGGTCTGTGTTCACGTCCATATCCAGCCTGGCCCTGAGCGATCATATTCTGCACTGATCCCCTCCTCACCCCGATCTGTGGCAGATCTAGGCAGAACAGATGCACCCAGCCCCTGTTGCATCTCAGTAGAGATGCCAGTGCCCAGCCTGCCCCCTCCAGCAGTCAGCAGATAGGCTCCCCTACCTAGATCCTGGCCCCCGGGTGTCCCCAGCTTGGCCCAGAGGTCCCTTCCAACCCTGCTTCTCTGATTCCCATCACTGACAGAGCAGTGAGGGGCTGACTGCTCCCCTGTACCAGGCAGCCAGTCAGAGATGGCTTGCCCATTCAGCTGTGCTCAGGAGTCTCTGGCAACCTGGGGAATCCATGGGGCATGCTGGGTGGCATGTGAGAACTCCCCCTACTTGCTGACCTTGAGGAGTGCAAGCCTCCCTTCCACCAAATGAAGAATGTCTGTTCGGTTCAAACATGCTCTAACTTATAGCACTTTAAACTAAGTGCAATATCTAGAGTACTTTTGATGCAGGCTTTTAGAATGTCTGTACTTAGCACCTCATTCAGAAAGACATAAGCCTTCATAGGTGACAGCCTACTTTGTCAGATCCTATACTAGCTGCTTTACTAAAATCATCAATGATTTTCCCCTCACCTTGTTCAACAGTCTCTTTAGTCTCTTTCCACCTAATTCCTGATCATGCTAGTCATTCTTTCCCTCTCCTTGAGACTTAAGTCTCCAAACTCTGACCTTTCTTCTTTCCTTGCTAGTTGAACTCCATTGTTTTTGTCAACTTGTCTATATCCTTTTTCCTGATCTATTAGCACTGCAGGGTTGGGGTGGGAAGGATTTGTTTAAGTTCCCTTCATACTTGCTGTCTTAGTGATTGAATCTATTTCTCATTGTTTGAAATATCATCTTTACCTTAATGACAACCAAATCTTTTCCAACCCCTTTACTGTACCTAGAGAGCTGCACCCAGAGGGTGTTAGTGGATGGGTCCTTCTCGGCCTGGAAGGACATGGGCAGTGGGGTCCTGCAGGGCTCAGTCCTCGGGCCCGCCCTGTTCAACATCTTCATCAGTGATTTGGATGAGGGGGTGCAAAGCACCCTGTTCAAATTTGCTGATGATACCAAGATGTGGGGGAATGTGGGCACAATAGAAGGGAGCAACAGGCTACAGTCGGACCTTGACAGGTTACAAGGATGGGCGGAGGAGAACAGGATGGGGTTCAACACAGACAAGTGCAAGGTGATGCACCTGGGGAGGAACAACCAGCACCATACCTACAGGCTGGGGAACTCCCCTCTTGTCAGCACAGAGGTGGAAAAGGATCTTGGAGTCATTATTGACTCCAAGATGAACATGGCTCGGCAGCGTGGGGAGGCGGCTAGGAAGGCCAACTGTACCTTGTCGTGCATCCACAGATGCATTTCAAGCAGGACCAAGGAGGTGATCCTCCCCCTCTATGCGGCACTGGTCAGGCCACAGCTGGAGTACTGAGTCCAGTTCTGGGAGCCGCACTTCAGGAGGGATGTGGACAGCATGGAGAGGGTCCAGAGGAGGGCCACTCGCATGATCAAGGGACAGCAGGGCAGGTCCTATGAGGAAAGGTTACGGGACCTGAACCTGTTCAGCCTCCAGAAGAGAAGGCTGAGGGGGGATCTTGTGGCCTGCTATAAACTAGTCAGGGGGGAATCAACAGGCACTGGGGGAGTCCCTGTTCCCCCGAGCGCCGCCAGGAGTGACCAGGAATAACGGTCACAAGCTGGCGGAGGGAAGGTTTAAGTTGGACATCAGGAGGCGCTACTTCACGGTCAGGGCGGCTAGGGTCTGGAACCAGCTTCCAAGTGAGGTGGTGCAGGCTCCCACCCTGGGGGTTTTTAAGAGGAGGCTAGATGACCATCTTGCTGGGGTCATTTGACCCCCAGTACTCTTTCCTGCCATGGCAGGGGGTCGGACTAGATGATCTGCCCAGGTCCCTTCAGACCCTAGAAACTATGAAACCTCCTTCTATAGTTCTAGCTGTATAGCAGGAACTGCATCTGGAAAAAATCATTAAGGAGTCTATGTTTGATAGGCTTGCAAAAGATAGGATTCTGAATTTCAGCCAGCATGGCTTCGTTGCGAGGAGATCTTATCTTGCCAACCTCATCTTCTTTTACAATCAGGTAACTCACCACCTGGATAAGAGAGAAGTGGTGGATATTGTATACCTTGGCTTCCAAAAAGTCTTTGATCTGGTATCCCACAATGTTCTTGTGAGAAAATCGGAAGATACTGGGCTTAACCGTGAGACGGTTAGGTGGGTAGGAAGCTGGCTGCAGGGTAGGATCCAGAGAGTCCTAATGAACGGATCTGTGTCATCCTGGTGAGAAGTGGACAGCGGTGTCCCACAGGGGTCAGTACTTGGTCCTGTACTTTTTAACATATTCATCAATGATTTGGATGTGGGGGTGAAGAGCTCACTGGCCAAGTTCACGGATTACACCAAGTTATGGGGAAGCATGGTCACATTTGAAAGGGACCGTGACCACAGGGAGAGGGGAGTTCAAGAGGAGTGGTTGCTCCTCAAGGGAGCGATCCTCAATGCACAAACTAAGTCTATTCCATCTTGGAGGAAAGGCAGCAAGAGGGCACAGCAGCCCCCCTGGCTCTCCAGGGACCTAGCAGACCTCCTGAGGCTAAAAAGAAAGGCCTACAAAGGGTGGAGGATGGGAGTCACCTCCAAGGAGGATTATTCTGCACTGGTCCAGTCCTGTAGGGAGCAGACCAGGAAAGCCAAGGCTGCAACTGAACTCCAGCTAGCTTTGAGCATCAAGGACAATAAAAAGTCCTTTCTCAGATATGTGGGGAGCCGGAGGAAAAGCAGGGGCAAC